AGAGAGAGAGAGAGAGAGAGAGAGAGAGAGAGAGAGAGAGAGAGAGCGACAGAGGGAGAATACTTTTAGCTTGAAATTGGGTTGCTCGAGCAGCTTCCTCAACCGACTAACGTGTGCCATTTCATAGAGTTCCTGTAATTACAGCTAAGTCCGCACAAATATCGTGTGGGCATTTAACCGGAACAATTTCCACGGCTTTCAGTTCAGCTGGACAGGTCATTTTCCTTTTGAAGATGAACGTTACATACCCCCCCCCTCCCTTCCCACATAGAGATGAGATACACAATGGGGGGATTAAGGAAAGCGTGTGAGTGTGTGTGTGTGGGTTGCAAATAAACCAACTGTGTGCCTGCAGAAAGTGAGACTACTTATGCTCGGGAGATCGCCCAAAGACAAATTATGAGTAAGTCAAGATGTGTAGATTTACTTTGCAGGACGGCCCAAATTATGACAGATACCGGACTTCAAGTGTGATGCGATTGAGAAGAAGAAGAAGAAGAAGAAGAAGAAGAAGAAGAAGAAGAAGAAGAAGAACTTTGCTGTAAGGATCCCTGCTGTTTCATCCCTTCTTCTTTTCCCTCAATCCTGGGACATTTGCCAGGCTTTCTAATTTTCTTATTTGAAAAGTACCATGATATGAGGAGTACTGACCACCTAACACCACAAGACGTGGCAGGCAGAGAAATGGAGACGTGAGAGCAACTATTGGCACTGAGTCCTGCCTGCATTTCATAGAAAAACAGAATAAAGCACCTTAAAATGCTCACAAGAAGGAAGAAAATTCCAGAGAGAGAGAGAGAGAGAGAGAGAGAGAGAGAGAGAGAGAGAGAGAGAGAGAGAGAGAGAGAGAGAGAGAGAGACCCACACTGGCGCTCATATGACCTTATGCAGTTGCAAGCGCCGTAAAAACTCTACTAAAACAACAGAGATCCACCTCCCTCGCCCTCATATGACCTTATGCAGTCGCGAGCGCCGTAAAAACTCTACTAAAACAAACGAGACCCAACTCCCGCGCGATAATATGACTTATGCAGTCGCGAGCGCCGTAAAGCACTTACCAACAAAAAAGAGACTCACCTGTAACCCCCGTGCCGTACACCTGGCTGGACAGGTAGGCGCCACAGGTGAGCGAGGCGTTGCCCGGACACTTGCTGAAGCAGTGCCCCGCCTCCAGGGACCCGTGTTTGCCGTAGCTGGGACCACACCAGCACTCCTTGCCGTACTGCACGGCCGCGTACTTCTGGCCTGAAATATCACAGACATAAAGATATATTGTCTGATATCTATCTATCTATCTATCTATCTATCTATCTATCTGTCTGTCTGTCTGTCTGTCTGTCTGTCTGTCTGTCTGTCTGTCTGTCTGTCT